TAAATCTAAAATGGATTATATACACACGCAAAGAGAGTAAGAGACTATAGGCAATCGCAATTGATATATTAAAATTAATTGTAACAACAGTCGATACCTACCCCCATCGTCAGGATCCGGTGATAAAGTTGGCTGGCTACCACGACGTCCCACGGGTGGCATCGATTCGTCTATTGCTGCCTGTTGACGCGTCAGCCTCGACAATTTGTTCGGCGAAACTTCTTTACCCTTGTAATAACACTGTTAAAAGACCCAACGTGTGACTATTATAACTGTATAATATACCGTTTTCGAAAGAGATTAAAAGTTTCTACCGTTCCATTAAATTATGCAGAAGAGATTTGATTAGATGAATTAATCTATTTTCACAAAAGATAATGTGGTTCTTAATAGAATTATAATTAAGTAAGGCAAATAAAAACAGTATAGGCTGTTTAATGTCTCTTTTACAAATATACTTTGCTAATTTAGGTTCTGCTGATGAGTTTGAAACAAAGTTGACAACTCAATGAATAGTATTTGCGTCTCGATAATCGCGTTGTAAAAGCATTGTAGATGATTGTAGATCGAATTACTTAATATTGTCATTTTTTTTTTTCATAATGAAGTAACCGTTATCGTTAGCTTACCTGCGTAGTTGAGTCTCTTCGAGTGGAAAGTAACGGATGCGTAGGTGTGTTGTTGACATTCGGGGAGCCGACCGGGCTTGAGCTACCGGAAGTCGAGGTGCCGGGAAGCGGGAGGCTGCTTCCGGTCGTCGGTGAGATCGCCGGTGGTGTTACCGAAGACATGACGATAGTCGGCGGGTTCACGGATGTGTCCAGATTGATGCCAGACTTGTTTTCAAAAACAATCTTCTGCTCTACGCTCAAGGTCGACGAAGTTGGCACCACCGGCAAGGTGTTGATTGTCACTGTCATCATTCTTGATTCCGTGGTGGTGACGACGCACGCCTTTCCGTCGACTGTCAAAGACGTCGCCGTCATCACTATTTTTGTGTCGTTCATGGAGGTGCTCGTCGATTGGGTCTTGGCTTCGATACTGCTCGATCTTTCGCTCTTGTCTGTGGAGCTTCTCTGAGCCTCCAGATGGTCTCTGTGGAGAAGAGTCATGAATAAAACATGTATCATCACTGTATTAAATATTAACGCACCTCAGAAGTGACAAACTACCAGTGAAATTGTAACGCCATGATTTAGGTGATATATTTTAATATATTGATAATGCGAAAAAATGACAATCCATCTAAAAATTTAGCTATTACACGAACTATTTATTTAAATTGAATTACTTAACTATCGTGATTTTATACCGACCTAACCGTATTACTAGCCGCACTGTCCGTACTAGAAGCGCTCGGTCTTTGATCATTCCTGTAGTATTTTGTAGGCGTGATACCACCTCCGTCGACCGACTGTTGAGATTGCCTACGTCTATGATGGCGACAATTGTGCTTACGCTCGCCGGGACTCGGAGTTTGTCCCGCAATCACCGAGTCCCTCCTGGATCTCGCGCTCTCGCCCGAGCCGCGACGAGAGTTTTTCGATTCTCCCGAACCTGCAATAATATAAAAATTAATACAACGTATATGCTAGCAATCCGATAAGTAACGATATTCCTTTCGCAACCAATTTTTTGAAAGTACGTTATTTAAAAATCGTGATTACTTATACAAATGTTTATAAACCTCACTGATACAATCGAAATTGATTAAAAATGATAGAACAAGTAAGAGTTTTCTCAAAGATTCGATATAAATGTAGAAATTAGATTGCTCTTTGTGTTTTCGAAGCGATCTTAAACGTTAAACCGGCACGATACGCCACTCCGCGTTTTTTTTAACACAGAACTCACGACTACATTTCGCATGCAAGACGTATGAGTCTCCAATACTCTTTCTCACCAACATCGCAACTCGCGAAACGTTATTTTCACTGAATCCACGAATCAATCACGGTGCCTCGAGGTGATCGCAAGCGCGGGTGCTATTTTTAGACTGTGTCTGCTACGAGAGTAGCGAGCTACTTCTCTGCCGCTGGAAATTTCACCTCGTCGCGGCGTGGGCGAGATGACCGTGGGCGGCTGCGGCTGCGGCTGCACATCCTTTTTGCTCCACAACCGGGCTATGTCGTTCTTAAAGTCGCTGATGGCCGAGTCCCGTCTAGATTTGGTCGACACCTGACTCCGAATACCGCTGTCGACCGAGCTTTCCCGCCTTTTTCGCAGGCTGGCCAAGTGACTGGCGTCTGTGGTGGTCTGCCGCGACCACGGCAATTTGGCGATGTCCGCCAGGGTCTCCCTGCGGGAGAGCTTGTTGCCGCGGCTGCTTTTTCCGGATACACCGCCACCCCATTCGCGCAGTATGTCAGTGAGCTGAGCGAGGCTTGATCGCCGACGGCGCTGGTTCGTCGGCGAGGAGTCCTGAATCTCGTTCGGCGGCGAGATCGATGTAATCTGCGCCGCGGAGTCTCGTCTGCCTGTTCCTGAGGGCAAACGCGTTCTTCTTGTAACTCTGAAGAGATTGTTATCGTTCATTGATAAGTTGTCAAGAGTGAGATGAGATTTTGTTATCGACTTGTTACAGAAAAAATCTGATGCGATTATAATAGAAAGTTTCATAAGAGTTATTGTTTTTCTTATAATGAGACAGATTGGTGATTGATGCAATTATCGAAATATTATTTTCTAATTGGAAAAAAGAACATGAAAATATATTAATTACCCAATCAAACTTCCAATTCGGCAGCTTCGCAAGTTTTATCTTGAGAATCTGTTTCTTTTCCCATTATTACATATTATTTCCTCTATATATACTTTTTAATTTTCTTTTTTTTCGTTTTTGAAGAAATGCATTTTATTTACAAAGACAAAGGAAAATATAAATACTATTAACCTTTGACTTTAATATTCCGCCAAGTCAGAGACCAGCCATTACAATTCTCACGAAAATGAATTCAAAGCGCTTTTGCATGAGAAAACCACCAAATTTCCATAATGTGCTTTCGTGCGAAAAATGCTGGTTACGGGTACAAAGCGTGTCTATGCATACCCAGTCGTTGCTTCAGAGTAGACTCCTCCACTTGCTCTCGCACGAGGTCGTCCCAGCCGTTGCCACCCTGCCATATCAGTCCGACCTGATGACTCAGGATCGGCAGGTTGCACACGAAGCAGATCGCTGTCATGGTCCTGAAAAAAGGAAGTGCGCGGTCTCGGCTTAAGCCGGCAGAGAAAGCGTGACGCCCGCTTGCCGCCACGCGCGAGCGGGACGGGAAGAGCTTTTAACGGAAGAAGAAGGTGCATCTTTCAACGATAAAATTACGTGAAACCAGGCCATGCCAACAGAGCGCTTAAAAGTGATAATTTGTCGAAGTCGTGGTTTCCCTTCAAACACCCTTCAAGTCGCGATCGCACATATCATGTTCGAGTGTAATTTTTTTTTTATGTGAAGCAAATCCGAGAAACAGCAGGAAGAGACACGCGGGGTATTGATATATACAGATACGAGCCTCTTCCCGCTTTACTCTTATCGCTGCGAAACCACGCTTCATCTACGCCCATTTCGTGAATACGATCGAAAAAACTTAACGAGATATCCAAGATAATACAAACGTAGCTAAGTAGAACAACACTCTAACAATGTACAATAGACACAATAACGCAGGTGTAATAATTACAGACGGGGCTGGCGGTTGCGCAAGCTCGATCGGCTTCTGACAAAATACGCGAGAATAAATAGAATCGCAAAAGATTGCGGTTTACGCTGGTGCAAATGTGAAATTTTAGAACGTCAAATATTTGCTAAAAATTGATTATCAACCAGCATGTAGCACTCAGCGTGTAAACACTCTCGCCGTTGATATTAAAAATATTATATTTGACAAATATTAATTGGATTACACAAGCAATTGCAAATATAAATTTAATTTGCATGACTTTAATTTAAAGATACATGCTCGCTGTCTAAAATTACCGCGACATACTGTTTAATGTTTAATATATGTGAAATTGAATGCTCTGCATCGTTTAGAATTAGCATAAATTTTAATATGTATAGGATGGAGACTTCAGTAGCAGTGCAAATAAACGCGAGACTCATTCCAGCGTATGCAAAGCTCGAGATTGTCGAGCTCACGCAAATCGACATCAGCCTCCGGTCTAGGAATGTTACCGCAGCGTGTTTCGCGAGCGCCGATGAACGTCATTCCAAAAGCGTGGATGCATAAAGAAACTCGAGAATATATATTGTATATATATATTTACATATATATATAATATATATATATTATACAATATGATATATAATATATATACAATTACTAGAGCGAGAGAGCCGCATGTCTTTTCTCATGTATATACAGCACATAATGAAAACTTTTTTTAGAAGGCATATATCTGATTTGATGTTTCGACCTGTAATGTCGAAGTCTGGGGCTCTGCAACGACATCGCATGGCAAGGGCCTGGCCGACCTGCAAAAGATACACACACACAAACTTTTTTTTTTCGATAGACCGCTACCGGATTCGATAGTAAAGTAGTTGATGTAAAGAGGCATCGCGCTCTCGATGATGCTGTATCCTGAAAAGGCGCATGATACTTGAGAGTAGCGTGGGAGTAATCGATGATCGCTTTTAATCACGAGAGCCGCGTTGTTTTTGCACGACGCCGCCGTCGGTTTCTTATATACGGTGTATCGGAAATCGATGATGTTGCAAAAAGACTGACAATGGAGTTTGATTATGGTAAGATAATACAATTACATTTTCAGAATAAATAATGCAATATTATTTAGTGATGAATTATTGAAATAAAATAATATTGTATATGTATTATAGTTATATTATATATATATAAAGAATGATATATTTTATGTCTGTTTATATTAATAATTGCGGGAAACATATGTTTTTAGGTGCATTATATATTATTATTTTTAAAAATGTTAATTGCGGTTGATAAATACCATATTTATGTAGGAGGATGTATCGAATGTATCGGTAAATATTGAGTACAAACAATAATTAATGTATAAATTAATTATTAAAAATACAATTGGTCTGCTTGTACAGATATGTATATATTTCACGTTACTCTCAATGATACTCTTGTACGCCCGATCTTTTAATAAATTTGTGTAGATATAATTTAATAACATTATGTTTTGTAAAGTATGCCGCATTAATCAAAATATTTGAACAATTGTGTAATAACTGGGCGGCTGATATAACGAGATTTAATGTTATCACCGCATACGAGAAAATGCGATTTTAATTAGCCAACACTCATTTTGAAATATTATCATAAACGCATTATGAGGATTTCTGCATCACTTGGATCTCATGTACTGAAACATCCCGTTTCATTCATATTGGATATTCGTATATTAAGCGGAACTGCGCGTTCCGCGAGTCGGATGCGTGCAAACTTTTGCACTATAAATTTCTATCAAATACACATTTCCGTCTATAATCTTCGCGTAGTTTCTGCAAGACCGATCTGATACAAGTTTCGTCATGTTGATAACATTCTAGAAACTTCCGCTGTGTCATAATAATATTACCTTGTTAAAACTTGACGTAGCCTTACATTAAGAGAAATCACGAGTCGGCCAACTTCCAATCCATTCGTATGCTAATATACAGTCGGTCGTTAACGGCGAAGCTTAACAGGCTGTATAAGACGAATTAAGAGAAGTAATTCAACGGTTGACAAAACTGTTTCGATAGAGTGCAATTACAGTTTCGTCAGACACAAAAACTTGGCCTCGCTTGAAAACCCGAACTCGAAACGCTCACACGGGCAACAATTAATTAATCTCGCCGTCAAAGCCGTAGAGCTTACTTATGCACAAAGTGACCTAATTAGTGATTCACTTCCCCGATTACTCCGCTCCGCCAAACAAACGAGCATCCGTAACAAACTCTGCGTCTAATATCGATTGTCAATAAGTTCGTACGTAAAGCTTCTTTGAAAAGGATACGAAAATTTAACACGCCGGGAAGAATAAGTCGGTTTCGCTTGCGAATTATTCAATTAAAAGTGGAGACTTGGCGGTTCTGATGTTCTTCTTGGTTCTTAATTTATTCCCTTAGAATTTTAATCCAACGCTCAATTAGCATGATGCCAAATGCTGAATGCTATTAAAAATTTGCGAAACATGCTCTCTCGTTTTTCTCTTTCGAAAAAGTTGACCTGAGTTTCCATTAACACATTCATAATTGAGGTCATTTGTAATTGCGGTACTTTTATTTATTCGCAATTACAAATTAAAAGAAGATCTAAGTCACTTTTCTTCGAAAAATAGGAGTTACGTTTACGCTAATTTACGAGTGTAATGCGTTTAAATAAAAATTAGGTAAGTAAACTATAACGACTCAACGATATTATTGCTAAGTAATTTTTGTTGGAATAAAAAAACATTCTCTAATATAGTCCTCAGCGAGAAACAGAATTTTTTTCTTTGCTAATGCTCTCCGAGAGCACGGGAAAGTGCAGATGCACAGAAGCACGCAGATTACGGACTTTTATTTGCTCGCGTTGAAGCCGCAATCCCAAAGCCGCGCTGAGGTTTGTAAAGAGAAAAAGACACGTAAAAAAGTGTGGTACAGTGAAGAATCTAAATTAAAAAAGAAGAAAAATTTTAAGTATAAAAATCTTAATTTTTATTATTGAATACGACTAACATTAAACGCGAGAGCTTCTTATCGATAAAAATTCTTATATTATATATAGCGCGATGAACGAAGCGGAAAGATGGATAACATTTTTCACTGGCCACTGCAATTTCGTGCGTTATTAAAGTCGATTATTGCGAAAAATTTGTTCCACCAATTTCCGTTCCGAGAAGTGAAAAGCAATTTCAAGAGCAATAAAATAAATTTATTGTTAGCAATATTATTTAAAGGAAAATTTTAAAAGCCAATTTTGGAAGTCGAGATATTTTCATGATGATGTCGGACAAATATTAAGATATAACAAACACATTTATTCTTTTTTAAAATTAAAAGACATATATAACACAAAGTTACCCGACGAACCAGTAATTACACGCGGAATTTACAAGGCTTTGAAATTAATTCTCAACAGAAAATTTGTTTGAAGTTTTTTAAATGATATGATACATTTTTCTGTATTAATTAATTATAAAGATTGTGTTCATTCTGCAGCATTGAGAGGATTTTATGTAATTTTTTATTTGAAAGTCTCGTGTTTTAAAGAGTAGAGAGATATTTTCATAATTTCTAGAATATCTTGTTAATAATGAATATCATTCACGCACGTCTTTCTGTATTGGAGATTTTCAATATCTGCTCTACTTTAACACATTATGATAGCATGCGTGCCAAATCTACTGGCCGGATCACCCTGCGTCGCCATAATGCGTGGTTTAACGTCACATTGCGGCTTGTATTATCGGCCAGCGAAATGCCTGTGCGTCATTAATACGACAGCTTTGACATTTCCTGTTTCAACATCCATTGTACGGTAATGATGCCGATTGCGAGAGTTGAGCGGAAAATGGCTTGCGTTATGCGGCCATAGAGCGAAACAGAATTGTTTTTAGGATCAAAACGGAAAATCGAGTCAATTTACGTAGGGACCATTTACGGGCTTTAATATGTAATATCGTACCTTCAATCAAAAAAGGTCAAAGTATATTACGAGTTAATCTCCTAAAATCATAATTAAAAAGCGAAAAAGGAATATTGTTTTTAATTACAATAAGCAATCAAAGTAAAGAAAAATCGTTTTTAATTACAACAAGCAATCAAATCTGAATCGAAGATTTTTCTTGCGTATCGCGCCCGTACTTTATATGGCCGTTAAATATTTTGTTGTTTAAATGTATGACGCTCTTTATATTTATTACTCTCCAGTTTCGCAATTGCGCGAATGACTGTAATACAGAGTGAATTACGCTTCGTGCGGGCGTCATGTTAACATTGAAATTATGAACGAGCAGCAGATATTCCGCAAGATCATATTCGCTCCTGAATTTAATTTCACGCAACATGACGCGCATGTGTAATTCGAAGCGTCGTAACCAGAAACCAGCATATAGATAGGACACAAAAAACGCGACTGCATATTTTAAAAATTTATGCAAATGCGAAGTGACCAACAATACAACCCATTACAATCTTATTTGTAATTTCAAAGCATTCTTTTCTCGGTCATGATTGTTATCTGCATTTTGGTTATTGCATAATTTTTTCCGAGAATAGAATGCAAATGCATTTTGTAATTGCATTAATAATAAATATAATGCTAATTCTATCTGCCCACTTGAAACTTTTTTTTGACGTTTTCAACAGATATCAACCTTATATTTTAGAGAAATTTAAAACTAAAATATAAGTAATATTGGCTTGATCAGACAATTTCCTCATCTTTCATTTTCGAAAAATCCTAAGAAATTTTCTGATCAACTCAATACATATTTAGTCTATATTTTAATATTTATCTAATCTTATCACAATTTTATTTATTATACTAAAACTACAAAACTTGCGATATTTATTTTTGAAAATAAGACATTTTATATTAATCGCGTAATTTCTTACATATTTTATAGTACGAAATATTGTACATTTTTACGATTATAGCTTTGTAGATCTTGCATGTAGTTATCTACGGAACGCCACGTAATGAGAAGAAGCATCTTAAGACGTTTGCTCGTAGGTAATGATAACTCGCAGGATATCGCGAGAGATCGCCGTGATTGCGGCTCAGTAAAAATGAGCAAAGTTTATCCGCGAAAAGCTCGCAGAGGACTCAGCGAGGTAGTTCGCGCAAATTGAAGGACTCGTCTTCCTGCTTCGCGGATTCGCGACGCAGGCCACAAAGTACCTTAATAAAATCTGACCCCAAAACTCGTCGGAAGGAAAACTCATCCGGCATCGTTTGGAAAGCTCATCTGCGAATGAGCTGGTAACCAGTAACGGTTAGATGGGGAGGGAGAACGGGATGCAGAAAGCAAAAGGAAGCAAAAAAAGCTACCCCTGAGATGAAATAATTCTTTCCTCTGCATCTGATGTTCATCTTGGATGAAAATCGCGAAAGGTTCTCCAAGTATGAAAAATGAAAAGTGTGGACAGAGAATATTCTGAGTAACATTTACCTCTTTTCCAGACATTTTAATTAATACGGATGTTATATCTGTACTCTCTCGCAATTAATACATGAGCTATAAATTTTTACTTTATTTAAAACAGCTCTATAAATTTAGCTTAAAAACTACTTTATAGTAAAAAGCATTATGCTGTTAATTTATTGGAGGAAAATATGACTTAAAGTGATCTTTATTTATAAAATTCTAATAATTTTTTTGCTGTACGAAAATCGCGAGAGAATAAAAATTTACTTAAACTGTTTAAAAATTAAATATTTTATGGAGGAAAACTATGAAAAATATACAAAAAAGAGAAGTATAAGAGAACAACTCGAGTTATGAAATATAAAGTACCAT